TCGTCATTTTGAAAATTTTGAGGCTTAGGTTTCGTCTTTCGTCATCAAGCATAAAAGGTTTCGTCTAACAACTATAGGCGGGAATTAGAGGTAAATTCCCGGTTATATGAAAGTCCAAAGGGCCGCATATAGCCGGAGATCTACCGGCTTATTCCTCGCAGTGGAAAATAAGGGTGTAATTCTTCATTTGAATGTCATGATACGGATCATATAAATGATTCCTTAATTTAAATAAAGTTTTTTCTAACAGCTACTTTCATAATTCCTGGAACACCTGATAAAAATTGACCGAGTAATTTTTCGGCCGATTCGGTTAAGTTATTGATTTCGGCATGATCCATAATTTTACGATCCAACTTTTTTAAATTTCGCTCAAATGCTTGTCCAACATGTCTGATGTGCTTAGCTTGTACGAAAATTTATGGAAAAGACAACCAATAAACCTTAATAAGAAACGTAAAAAAGGACCCGAATATAAATTGGACGAACAGGTGCCGCTATTAGAAAAGTCAAATATGAATATGAATTTGTCGACTGGTTTAAAAATGAATCTCAGGTTAGAATTCCAAGCGACCAAGCAAGATATTGTTAATATCTGTCGAGAATGCATGAAGAATTATGATAAACGAAATCAAAGTAAAAAATTTTATATTCATATTACCTTAATAGTGAACGTAGTTTTCCTGAAAGCGACGGAAGGTTTTCAACACATCCATATTTTTGAAAATGTTTTAGAACCCGGCTCACAGAAGATATGCTAACACTTAAGTGTTTGGCAATTTTTGAAAAGATTGGTCTTCTAAACATTTCAATAATTTTAAATGGTATAGTACAACAAAGAATTTAGTAATATTTATATTGGTCACTTGATCTTAAATTATGTAATATATCAATTTTATTGAAGTATATTTAAACCATGCTTTTTTTTTTAAATTTTATTTTTTTTAATTAAAACTGCACTTTTAATTAATTTAAAAATTTTATTTATTTATTCTATTCTATTTTTTTGTACCAATATTTAAATATACCAGAATAATTAAGATGAAATAATAACGTGGTTTTAGATAGTTTGTTGGGAATAGCTTAGAAGATAATCGGAAGAGCGTGTTGAGAAGTGGTGTCAGGGAAAGGTATTGTTGAGAAGGAGTGTCAGGTAAATGGTTGTTGGGTAAGTGTAGTGAACGGGATAGTTGTCCCGGAAAGGGATCGTCAGATAAATGGTTGTTGGGTAAGTGTAGGGGACAGGATAGTTGCCTGGGAAATGATTGTTGTTGGGTAAGTTGTCGTGTTGGCAAGGGAAAATAAACACTGATGAATTAATACTCAAACCATTACTTATAAATTCTGAGATAACCAAAAAATTCTGATAACCGAATTCGATAAGTTTCTGAAGTCAGTTACCTCTTGATTCTGACTTAGTAACTTATTGAATTCGGACATCAGAAATTTTTCAGTTGTTCCAGCATTCATAAGAGCAGCTATACCAGTTTTGGTTTAGTCAACTCAAAACTATAAAGTTCTGGGCAGCATCATTACAACCAACTACTAGAGAACTAGTTAAAATAAATATGACAAGTATAAAAATTTTATAATCCAACAAAATATTCAATTATGACTTTTTTTAAAATTAACTTCACTTTGCTAAAATTCAAATTCAAATTTATTTGCTAAAAATATATATATATATAACATATATCATAGATGTCCAGGGTTCTATTAGATTATAACTTTTCTTTATTATGCTTCGGACTCCCAACAGCGCCTGTTTCCTAGTTTATAAGATGAAATTAGCTAAAATTAGAATTTAGAGTTCCTGACTTTAGTTTATTAAGTTTACAGTAGTTGAAATTTATGAAACCTTATCAACTGCTTTTAGCTTTGCCAATTTACCTTTGTCAACCCTACAGTAAAGAAAAATTAAATTTAAAGGAAACTAAATTATTTTTACGAATAAACACATGTTTACACTTGTTAGTTATATTCAAAGCTTCACTAGCGCCAGTAATTTGTTAAGTCATGTACAGAACGGGTATTTACCATTTGACGAGTACTATGATGATCCGGATATACTTAATTCGTACCGGATTTATGTGAATCCATTAGTATTAGTTGGAACGTAAAATCCAAATGACCGGATAATGCCAAAAAATTAAGTCTTTTCGTGTAACCCGAGCTTTTTGGACTAGGCAATAATTCTGGTCATCTACGTATTGGTACGTATTGATAGCAAACTCCAATCCGAGCAATTTTACTTAGTATGTTAGTTAGTGGTTTATTAGCCATATCTGATTTGCTAGTTTTTTAGATTGATTTAAATAAGAGATTATAAAAGATTAAATTTTAGGGTTAACTTTCTAGCACTTTTTTGAAGTAGATGTGATGATTTTTTTGCTCGTGTAATTTACGTCTTTAAATGTATAAATAAGTTACCGGACGAATTTCTGTCTATGATATTTTGGTCAAATTTGGTTAATTCCAGAAGTTCTTTTACACAAAAAGACCACAAACCTACTGTAAAGCACGAAGTGACGTCATAACTACTGATTATAGTTTCGAATACTACAGCACCAGTAAAACGCTATCACGCTTTACTAACATTAGAACACTATTAATAATAAATATTACCGCCAAATTTTCTACACATTAGGCCAGACCAATTTAATTCGGTGGTTTACATTACATCCTTCTCACAAAAGGGGAGGGAAGCTGGAGGGAGTTTATTATATTTTTCCGAAATGACCCGCGATATTATAAAAATTTTCCGAAATTTTCCGCGTATATAGTGAGGGGGAAGGCAGAAGACGGGGTAATGTAAGCCACAGGATTAAATTGGTCTGTCCTTAACAATAATAATAATAATAATAAGTAAAGCTATGGTATGGATCCGATAAGATTTTAAAATTATATCATTAGATTGCATTTGTGGATCATAATAAGCAATAATTAGTAATAACACATAAAAATAAGTAAGGGTAAAAACAAGTATATTATTTATTTTATCACCTCAACACGTACATTACATGAATTTTACGTAAGTTGCAGAAAACCAAATTTCATGAAATTTTTCATACGTTATACATAAAGTATCAGATTTATAAAAGGCTTGGCCAGCATTATTGCATCATTCGATTTGAATGAACGATCCGAATTGTAACTCATAAATCGCCGAAATTTAATCTCAGAAACAAATGCCATGTATTCAAAATTACAATTACGTGAAATTTCAATTTACTGAATCTTACGCAAAATTACACAAAATTACGTAAATTATCGTAATTTTAACGTACAATACAAACGTACGTACTCGGCTATGCCCTATTTTAAAAAAATCGGGTTATAAAAAAAAAAGTGCTATCGTAACTAGTGGATTAATAAGCCTGCGTCTATCCCTTAAACTGTCTTGTAAGCAAATTTTCCTGCAAATTACCACGAGCGATCTGTGGTCAATCTACACATGAATTGTTGACTATATTACTGCATATTCTATTTTAAAGCCTCACATTGACATTGATAATTGGTTGGAAGGAACAAGTAATACAAATTCGAAAAAAAGAAAGTGCTGTAACAAATCAGAGTGTAAATTTAACTGATACAATATACAAATATGTACGATGGGATATACAAAAACACAACTTTGTGTGACACTAATTAAAATGAAAAATGACGAGATGATTTATTCGTGTAACCTCTAACTACAATGTTTAGTTTTTTGAATCTTTAAATTCATCTTTAATTTCCTTTTAAGGGTTTGTCAGCTCAAATAAGTAGATCCGATAGGTTAACGGCTATCACTAATCTTAATAATCGACTCCTGCATTTGACAATCATTTCCCTGACAGTTAAGGTTAACCCGAATTTGGCATTGGTGTTGGTCAGAATTTGATAATGCCTTGGTCTTCATGGCAATTATTGTCGTACAACTGCAGGGAAATTAAATCTGTGTTTTGTGTGATGTTCTTGATATTAATTGTACCCTTTGACAAAAATAGTCATTTTAACAACCGGAATTATTTCTATTTTACAATGAAGATGCTATACAAAATAGTTTGTCTTGGAGATGGCGGTGTTGGGAAGGTATAAAGTTTCGTACTTGTACGTTGTGCATTTAAATTGGCTAGCTAATACTGATATTTTACGTAATCTCTTGATTTGATGATTTAGTCGGCACTTACAATTCAGGTTAGTCGTCTTTTTTTTTTATAGACACTGAAACATTAAAATTTTATGCTTAGCTTACTTCGTTTTTATGATATTTCACAATTTTAATGACAGCTATGCCTAAACCAATTTGTTGGTTAGTATGGTTTTAAATGTCTTCTTCCGATATCAATAAACTCAGTCTAACTATTATATATTAATAATTTTTATTGAATTATTTCATTCATCAATGTTTTAGAGGTTTGTATTTTCATAAATTATGTGCGGATTTTGAAGGCTGTAATACATTTTTATTGAATATGTGATGTGTTAACAATTAGATATATAACCCAACAATCGAAGATTCATATCGAAAACAAACAGTTATAGATGGTCAGCCTTGCGTTCTAGAAATATTGGATACTGCAGGACAGGGTTCGCGAATAACATTTTATTAGATTATATTTTGCAAGTCATACCATGTTCTAGTTTTCACCTTCATAAAAAATTGTTATGCTGCATTTTTCCTTAACCTATTTTTTGTTAAATTTAATAGAAGAATACGCAGTTTTGCGTAATCGATGGATCAGGTATTGTATTCATGTTTATGAAATTTATTTTAAGCCTATAATAAATAATAAATAACCAATAATCAATAAAAATTCTTTATTCAGTGCTGGCGAAGGCTTTTTAATCATCTATTCCATATCTTCAAGATCAACATTTGAGAGAATAGAACATTTTCATAATAGCATTTTATATCACAAAAATTATGTACCACCAATTATACTTATCGGTAATAAATGTGATAAACATGCTGAACGGGAGGTTTCAAGAGAAGAAGGAATGAATATGGCGAAAAAGCTCAGTTGCGATTTCATAGAAACTTCTGCAAAAACTTGTGTGAATGTGGAAAGATGTTTTTATTCATTAGTTAGGATGATTAGAAGTACAAAGTACGTGGATAGTAGAAGTTCGAAAAAAAAAAAGAAACAAAAGTTATACAATATTATAATTTGATTTTTAAAAATATCAAGTCACACGGTTTTTGTATTCATTCATCATAAGGATAAATTCTTATTTTCATGTATCAAATTTATTTAATGTATTAAATTTTTTTATTATAATTTTTATAGTATTATTATTATTGGTATTAAATATATATTATTGCAAAATTATGTAATTTATTGCTTTTATTCATCAAGTTGTCGAATTTTTTTCAAATTAGATGAAAGCTTTTGCTTATATTACTATTCGTTGTGATTTTTCGATGGAAAACGAAGATTTAAATTATTTAGCTTGCGAAGTTATCGTTTCACTAGTGATCTGACGTGATTTTTCGTCATTACTAGTTACTAAATTTTTGGTTTGTGTGTGTGACAAATTAAACTATTTCTGTCAAAATAAATATATTAAAAAAATGTTGGTTAAAATTCAACTATTAACGAATTACAAATTAAAAATTAGAAATAACGTTAAAATAATTATTTAATATTTTCTGAAAATTTCAACGCTTATTTACTTATTTCAATATATCATGTCCATTTCTGCCTGAAAGATCATACGCTAGTTATTTAAACTTTTAATATACGTTGGATTTTTAGTATATATTATATAATTGACATGACTTTATTAATTTTTCTTATCAATGCTGATTTTGGTGTTCTTAAGCAGTTTTTCAATGTGAATAGCTAGTAATCGAGATGTTGCTCAACCAAATGATTAATCGAAGAACAATTTGCTAAAGGCGTTCTTAAACCCGTTCTTAATATTTCTTAGCTATAATTATATTTCTGTAAAATTTTTACTTGACAAATTGAATGATGTAATTGAAGTTTCTTCGATGTGATTAACAAATGATCGTAACGATGTTCATCTAAGGCCACGCAAAGTTGATTTTTCGTTTTGCATTACATGGATTTCAAAATTAGGGACGGACGGACGGATTTTTTTTAAATTCAATTTACTGCAAATAGAATAATGATCACATTTAAGGTTATATTTGCACAACAAGGAATCAAAAAATTGGGCCAGCAGTCATATTTTTCCTGTCAGTCCTATCGGACAATTACGGGAAATTAAGGTCTCTGTCGGGTGATACCGGATGAAATAGCGGGGAAAAATAGATGTCAAAAATCGAACAATTGGCATAATTGGGATCAAAAAAAATATATATATATATATATATATTGAAAATTTGAAAAAATGGGACGCGGGTAATGCAAAACGAAAAATCAACTCTGCGTGGCCTAATATAATCAATCCAAATAAAGATCGGAATTGATATTTGAACGATCTTATTTGCTCAAATGTCGTGTTAAAAAATTTATAAAAAAAATAAAAATAAAATTAGTTGAATACAGAAAAACGTCAATTCAAAATTTACTCGTTTTAGTTCTTTGTCGATATTGGGTTGTTGTAGAAATTATTGTTGGAGTAGTTGGATTTGTTATCATATGAATAAAGATAAGAGATTGGTAAGCATTTCATCTTTCTTCATATTTTTTATTGTGTTTTGTTTTTTATTGCACCTGCAATGTATTGCACCCTACTATAACTTAAAATTTTACTAGGGTAACCCTGTTATGTAACCAACAAAAAATGATCCTCTCGCGACTTCAGGATTTTACCTAACCCTAACCCGATCACTAACACAACCCTAACACTAACTCTAACCCTAACTCTAACTCTAATTATTATAGGGGTGCAATATATTGCATGTGCGATAATTTATAAAATCCTTTTTTATTTTCCATGAAGACTTTTAATATAAAGAGAACTAGTAATTCGTTGACGTCAAGAACGAGGATCCATCCATTGCCTTATATTTAAAATCAATACTGATATACATAAATCCATATAGGGAATAGTAGTGTTCCCATGAAGATTTTCAAATATTAATTTATTGCAATAACTTCTTTTAAACTTAAACATTTAAGTTTCTTAATAGTTATTACAATAAATGCACTTCCTGTTTATATTTTTTATAACGAAGATGTAATATAACTAGTATATAATAATAATTGTTTTGATCGATTTGGAAGGGAAGGAATTAACAGTGATTGCTCTTTAACATTTACCATTATAAGAAATATTGTTCTAAGTTTTCTACCTTTAAATGGTGTTCTGGTTCGCTCCACAATAATGTATAATAACTGCATCATTGATAGTTTACAAGTGCACATGAATATAAGCCTTTATAATTATGCTGAGGTGATTAAAGACTATACTGCTATATAGTAGCATTCAATCGGTAATGAAAAAATAATCAAATTTTAATACGTGCGGTACAGAAAATCCGATGATTCTAGATGTTTTGGATTTTATTTAGGACGATAATTTTGGGAAATATTTATTGTCAATACGTTATGCTAGAGTTGATATCAAAGTTATTGCTGCAATGTAAAATACCGCATATAGCAAAATAGATCGTCAAAATTATAAATCTAAAAAGCGCTCACATTAGGCCACGCAAAGTTGATTTTTCGTTTTGCATTACATGGATTTCAAAATTAGGGACGGACGGACGGATTTTTTT